CACACACACACACACACACACACACACACACACACACACACACACACACATTAAGTTTTTCAGGATAGCTGGAACAGATTGCCTAAGGCCACCCAGGAATTGATAAAACGTTTGTGTTTTTCCATGGTTCCTTCTCTTACCCTTTCCTCTGGAAGGGGCATTGAGGCCATTTCGTAGGAATGGGGAGTAGCATTCCAGAGGGCACCCACATTCCAAACCAGAGTAACAGAAAAGCTCCCACCCCCAGTAGAGCCAGGATCAGACAGAGCTTGGATTATTTCATTGCACTTCCATGGCCTTTTATTGTTGTTGTTTAAATAACAAAGTTGCTGTTCTTTCATATGATTCATCTTCTCTTTGAAGTCTATGGTGTTAAAATACAGAAAAATGAACCAAAAAAAAAAAAAAGAGGAAGTAACGAATTGGAGAGAAAAATCCAAGAATATGGAGAGGCCACATTCTGTAACTAGAAGACCCTTAAGCATGCCTTCTTGTGATGGTTCTTAAATTTCTCTCTTCATTTCCTCACCATTTTCTGTGTTCACTACAGTGTGAGGCTCCAGGAATCTTGCTTAGTGCTTGGCTCTGGATAATAAAGGAAATGGAAGAAACACTGATGTGTCTCCTACAACACTCGGTCTCACCCACTCAGCTTACAGACAAACACCCAAAGACCAGGGCATGTCCTTCCACTGAGGAGAGAGTGATGGCAGACGGTGTAAGGGAGTCTTTTCTTCTGGCCACTTGTTTCGTATGGACCATAAGGCAGTGAAACCTCCCTTCAGGCACAACTGGGAGACATGCTAACGTCCTGACACATGTGTTATCCGGAGTGTTTCTATATAATACAGATTTCACATCTGGCAAGCCATCTTCCCTCTGTGCGTGAAGTTGATTTGGTTGTTTTTCTTTTCTTTCCTTTTTTCCCTTCCCCCATCCTGAGCATTAAAATTCTGTTTGAGTGCTGTCTTTAAATTGCTTTGATGCTAGGTGGGTTCCAACTCTGACCTGTCCTGATGGCAAGTGATGGCTGTAACAAGCCCAGGATCAATATTCATAGCGGGTGTCCTGGGCTGATAACGCTATCCAAGACAATGTTCGCTATCAGTGTGGACAGCTGAGATATTGTGCCATTAGGGATGTTGTGTTAAATAACCTGATCCATTTCTGGGGCTATTTAATGAATTTCACAGCTTAGATAGTATCTTTAAGGAGATGGCAAAAGGCTATTCCTGAGGCACTGATGCAAATCAATGATGCCAGGCTTCTCAAACGATTGCACAAACAAAGTGGCCTGTAATTCCAGCACAGCCTTGAGAAGCTGCCACCCATCCTGGGAGCAGGATTAACAATAGAGAGAATGTGTGGTTATGTAGAGGGAGGGTGGGTGATATTATGAGTTGCATTGAGGTCCCTAAGATAAAATCATATGTTCCTGAAATAAATACAAGTGGAGTTCTCTGTTTGAACTAGCCCACAGGTTAGGACATACATGCCAAAGAGACAGCTTCATCAGGAGCAGCTGAGGGCCAAAAGGAGATGCTGACTACAGAGACATCCCTCTACTCTGGTACTCAGGTGACTTTTCCCAAGATGCGCTTCTTCAACTCAAATCACTCCATGAGGTGGGATGAAAAAAAAAAAAAAAAGACCTTGGATTTTAAAAGGAAGCTGCTGGTAGCTCAATGGGGTTTGTTTATCTGACTCCAGGCCCTTGTTGTTAGAATTTACAGTTAAAGACTATTGTTTACTTCCTCACTGAAGCACCCAACTCTGATTGCCAAGAAAAGCAAGAACCATTTAAAGAAACAAAACAAAACAAAAAACACCTCAGAGTCCTGTGCAACCCTAGCACTTGGGAGGAAGAGGCAGGAGGATTGTTGCAAATTTGAGGCCTTCAAGTTCTATTAAATTCTGAGCCAAAAAATATGAGGCAAAGCTGTATAAGAAAACCCTGTCTGAAACAAAACAAAAGCAAGTAACTAAAACTGGAAAACAACAACAAAAACCACAAAATGCAAAACCACCTTGGAGACTTGATTTGTGAAAGACAAATTCAAAATGTTGCCTTCTGGGGCTGGGATCACAGCCCTTGGCTCAGCTATTAGAATTTGTGCCTTGTATGCATGAAGT